AAGGAAGAGAAAGGAGACTCCTCTGGCTGGAGCAGAGTGAATGTGCATGGGAGCAACAGACGGGATGCGGAGACCGAAGAAAAGCATGCTAACAGTATGACAGGAAGTCAGAACTGTATGTCAGTAGGCTGGAAATGTACATATTCTGAGGAAAGGGAGGGGTTCAACTGATGGGAAAAGGATACAGTGACTGCCACATGATAGGGACGTGGACCAGGACGGCAGGGACAGAGAGGGCATCTGGCATATTTTGTGTATATTAGGGTAAACCAGATTTCTTCAAGATTTGACTGAGAGCTGTGTGGTAAACGGGGTAATGGCTGCCTCAGTCATTTCCATGTGCTTCTCCCCAGAACACAGAAATGCTCCATGTGGGAAAAGAATGGAATTTGCAAATGGAATTTGTTGCTGATCTACTGGCTTTGAGTTTATCCTCATGGTGCATTCTGAACACATGGATTCTTAAAAAGAATGGTTTATTATTGTGTTGAGGAAAAGCTAAGAGATGGGTCAGCACTCTGCTGTTTCATACCATTGTGATTATAACTGCCCTGGACCGTGTCTCAAAACCTGAATATCTGTTGCCTCTGGCATTTTTCCCAGGATTACTTCATTATTCTGGTCTCTTTGTGAATTTAGATTTTTTTTTTCCTAGATCTGAGGAAAACGTCCTTGGTATTTTGATCAGGATCTCACTGAATCTGAAAATTGCTCTGGGTGTTGAGGGCATTTTTATAATTCTTCCAATTCATGAACATGGAAGGATTTTTTCATTTTTTGGTTTGTTTTACCTAGTTCCTAATATTTTTCAACTTTCACTGTAGGAAAATTTCATATTCTTGATCAAATTTGTTCCAAGGTACTTAGATTTTTGTAGCTATTGTGAATGGTAGTCATATTATAAATTCTTCCCCAATGATAAAATCTGTTGATTTTTGTGTGCTAATTTAATAACCTGCAACTTCATCAAACTTACTAATGAGTTCTAGCAGTGTAGTCTTTTGGCTTGCATAGTCATAGGATTATATCAGCTACAACAGGGATAATTTGACTTCCTCTGCTTTGTAATCCAATTTGTGTCTCTTTGATTTCTTTTTGTTTCCTAATGGTCCTGGTAACAATTTTCAGAACTATGCTGAATAGTGATGGAGAAAGTTGACATACGTGTCTCGCTTTAGATCTTAATGGAACTACTTTCAGTCTTCCCCATTCAATACAATGCTGGCTCTTGCTATGTAACATAGCAAGAGATGTTATTCCTTGTTTGAGGAATGCTCCTTTTATTCCAAATTTGCTTAAGGAAATTATTATTAAAGGATAATTTATCAAATACTTTATCTCCACCTATTGTGGTAATGTTTATTTTTTTAATGTGATATGTCTCCTTTTGTTTGCATATGTTAAACCATTCCTGCATCCCTGAGATAAATCCTACTTGGTCCAGGTGGATGGTTTTCTCTTGATGTGCTATTGCCATTAGTTGGCATCTTTTGAGGACTTTTGCATCCATGTCCATCAGGGATATTGGTCTTTAGTTCTTTGTGGTATTTTTTTCTGGTTTTTTATTTAAGGAGATTTGTGGAACAAACTAATATACCAACATGTTACCTCCCTGTTGTTATCATTTATGAACTAAAACACTTATCCTTTTTAGTGTCTTTGTTGCTGCTTTTTAAATTCCCCAGGTATTACTTTATCTTGAAAACTTGAATTAACTGCTCCTTCTTCTTGTGCTTCTCCAAAGATTATCGAGAATTTCGCTATCTCCTTTTGTGTCTTCAGTGTCGCTTTGAGTTCTACTCTAAGTATAATGGATTGCTTCCTCCACCACAAGTTCCAGAAGTATGGTAGGCAATTTCACTATTTTGCTCATTATTGCAATCAACACATTTAGAATGGTGGTTGGCAAAGAGATTAAAAGTCATTGAATCCCATAAAAGATTTTCACTGTGAAGTAGTCATTGCAAATGGCCTCTGAGAGAGTCTCCTCTGCTGAGTTTTTGGCACAGCCAACGCGTTAGCCATGAGCTTCAAGAATGAACTCTGGCAGGGAGAAGAGAGGAGCGGGAGTAATGCTTGGATTCTCCTTAGAGAACTTAGGTGGTGTAGGGAATCAGAAAGTGAGAAGTGAGAGAGAAGCACAGTTCAGTACAAATTGGATCTACCCTTCGACAGTGAGGTAGACCTGAGCATACTTGTAAGTTTAGGAATTCTGTAGGAAAGTAAACTAGAAATGGTGAGAACCACAGGTATGGATGGTATAAAATCAAGTAACAGGTTCTGAGACTAAAGGGACCACGCAGGTCATCTCCATCCTTCAAGAGAATTTCTAAGAATCGTGAAAATCCAGATCAAAGGCAGCATTAAGGTAGCTACTGCTTCTGACACACTGATCTCCAAGTTGGGACATTACAGATATTAAAGCACTCTTTCCCAAGCTGTATTGACATCTTCAAGCACCATGCCAAACCAGGCACATAAAAAACCATTCTTAAAAATACCTAACAAAGAAACCAGAATGTTACACCTCAACATCTAGACAAAACTTCTTAATGGCTAGTGACATGAGACTCACTGCAGCAGGAGACATGGCTGAGCAGTGTGGTGGAGTGCAAAGAACTTCACTGACACACCTTTGGATTTTCTCTGAGTGCACCTCTCAGCTCACTTGTGCAAGGTCACACACTCAGGGGCTGTGCATTTCTGTTATACCACAGAGAAGAATCACAGATACAGAAGGAAAAGTGGAGGTTGTTGGAGTACTAACCACAAACCAATCCCAGTTACGTGCAAGTTCGGAAATGAGATTTTGAAAAAGTAACCTTTGAGTCCTAACTCAATGCCTTTAGAGTGAAGAAAGGTAAGGTTCAATTTCATCTAAAGATCCTGTCTGGATCTACACTAGCTATTTTCTGGTCCTGTGAAATCAGCAGATAGAGGAGGAGGTGGCCAACAAAAGGGACTTCACCGTCACAGTTCCTGGAGTTCTGATTTGGACATACAGAGAACCCTGTAGGCAGAGGGACATTGTGCATATTGTCATCTTAGTTGAAAATGATCAAATGTCATCTTCGAGGTCTGTGGATCCATAAAAAGATAAATCTGTTCAGAAATAGACTTCTAGTGAACACAATCTCAGACCTTCAGTGAAGATGCAATGCCTGTAAAGCACTGCGTGGATCACTTCTGTGTTCTGGAAGAGATTTGGCTTAAACAGTCCCATGAAGGTGTGCCATCCACTCCATCATTTTATAGTTTAAAAAGAACAGGCTGAGCAACACGAAGCAGCACTCGCCTTGCAGGGACCAGGCCATCAAGCAACAGTCTGACCTTGGTGCCCGCGCTGCCTTGTGCCACCATGACTATGTGCAGTGATCAGCACTCCTCTGTCACAGAAGCAGAAAGCAGATCCTCTGTCCACCCTGGGAGAAAGTTTGCTTTCGCCTCAGTCATCTCCTGAACTGTTCTTTTGTGTGCATATATTTGTATTTTTGCTCTCGTTGTCTGTCCCATAGAGGACCATAGAAGGGCTTTGTTAACGTGGTTTAAGTGTCTGTACTGATCCCATAGGATAGCAGAGCAGCACTGACTGAGTTAGGGGACCCTTCAGTGTGACTGTTCTCTTTCCTGAAATAATATTTTGAAACTTTCCGGCAAATTAATCCACAAACTCCTCCCTCTTACCCACACCTAAAAAATTCTCTTTAGTTGACAATTTGTTTGAAAATGGGGATTGAGTGGAAAATAGCTATTGTTCAAATGGACAATTTTTACAGAGGCAACGGGGGTACAATCAGCAAGACATCAGGCAATGTTTTACACAGCTTCCCAAGTATTAGGGGAAAGGGGTAATTTAGAAGGATAGTGGTAGATAAATACAATAGCTTTTCAGTAAATTACACGTTCTTGGTTTTAGAATTTGCACTTTGCATATCTACTTCATAACTTCTAATTATCTTTCCGTTGCTTGGAAAGTAGTATATTCATGGATTCCTAAATTTTATCTTTGATTCCAGGTCAATTATCTAAAAATATCTAGTTCCAATTAGAATGTTTCTGGTCTTAGTTGACGTGCTGATCATGTTTGTGCACGCTGAGGGTGGCCTTGCCATTTGATTTCAGATTAAGTAGTTTCATCTTTTTTTTAACAGCTTGGGGCATTGCTGCATTACTTTGACTAACTTTGACTATTTCCTAGAGGAAAGTAAAGCATAATTAACTAAAATTCTTCAAAGCTACTGACTATAGATTATTTTTAGGGATTTCTATTTCCAACTCAAATTGATTCTAGGATTCCCCAAACCAGGTACTGGAGCAGCACCTAGCCTGAAGTAAAGGTAAGAGTCACTTACATAAGGAAAATGAGGATGATGAGCGCTGTGACTTCCTTACTACCTGACAGTTGTGAGCTGGTGTGTCCCTGTGCCAACAGTTACATTTATGTCATGCAATGATATATGGCAGGTCTGCCTCCAGTCTTTACAGATGAGTAAGTGGTGATGTTGTGATGTTACCCAAGGCGTGCAGGTGGGGCCGTGATTGGTGGGGTTGGACCTGAGCCGTGTCTGCCTTTGCAGTTCAAAGTGGCAGGGACCATGCTCTCATGTCACTCCACTGCCTAAAAGATGGGCTTCCCTTGAGATGTTCCCTCCTCCCCAACATCTGAGTCGTGAGTGGCGATTTGTATGTTTGTGTGTCAAATTCTTCTAAAAGTCACTGAGATTGCATGTTTTTGTAAGAACAGAAGCTCCCCTTGGTCCTAATTATTGGAGGTGGTGCCAGACTTTTTTTCTTCAAAGTTCCAGGGGACATATCTGAGCAGAAAATCACCCCCCCACACACAACTCTAATTTTAGTTTTTACTTTTAAAAATAGTATGGCATACCATGAGATGAAAGTAGGAAATGGAACCACTTCATTTGAGTCTCAAAGTGCAAGATGCAGATGGATTAATGTCATTTTAAATTTCTCCATGAAAAGGACTTGTGGTCATTCCTTTGTGACAAATCTGATGATAAAATCTAGATTGAGCCAGATTTGTGAATGATTTTATTCTACATGCTCCCAATACAACAACAGCATCAGTAGTGAACACGGGAAGAAATATATAGCTGAGCAGAAAAGCTCAAAGGTTGGAAATATGATGAATATGCACAGCTTTATGGGAGTTGTATGTGTGTGACATTTTGACACTTCCCTGCAAACAGAGGAATACGCACCCATGTAAACTAGAGAGAATTTCATTCTAGGAATATTGGTAGGCTACAAAGAACCTGTACTTAAGGCTCTGCAATTGTTTTTACTGCCTTGAATTTGCCTCATTTGTTTGACCTTCAAAATTCTTGCAGAAAGTAGCAGCGATTCTTCAGAGGTATAATCAATGGCTTCGGCTGATCGCTTAAAATGGCAGCAAGACAAAGGTCCTTCTGCATTCTGTGCTTTGAAAAGATTTATATCTGACTCCCCAGTATAATAATTTTTGACAGTTCAGGTACTGACTGCAAAAGCACCATCTTGATAATATTTACCTCTTTTCTGTGCTTCAAAAATATTTCTAATTTACTATTTTATTAAACAGAAGTTCATATTTCCGTGAAGGGGGACGAGTCATCCACTTCGTATTAACTATTTTTCAAACTGTGTAGCCTCAGATGTGTTCAGTTTCAGGCCTTGGGGATAGCTTTCGTACCTGCCTTCAATTTCTCCTCCATGAACAGAACAAGTCTCTCTAGTTTACCATAATAGGGCATCAATATTAGTGTAAATATTTAGCACACAAAAATACTGTCAAGAAATTCAACTTTTAATAAATATCTTAGGTTCTGAATTCTATATACAAGTACTTTACATCTGCTCCCTGCTGGGAGCATTCCTGGCTTCAGTGTGAGCTAGGTAATCACTGACATAAATTACGAGCATATGATTGCAGTCAGATGCACTGTGGTTTTGAACATGTGGATATGAACCATGCAGAAAATAAATATCCTAACCACTGACAAATGCTTGCTGGAAACTGCTTCCAGAGCACCAATAAGTTCGAGTGTCAATTCTAGTTCAATGATTTTTTTTCTAAGTCATCAACTTACAAATTAACCCCAAAACATCTATTATTACAGTACATGGAGTGAAACTCTGTATTTGCCAACAAAGGGGAAACAACAGAACACCATAAGAGCATACGAATACCTCAACGGCATCTATTTTCTTGAACCGGTTCCTTAACTGTTCCCTGTTGCCAATAGCGCACCAAGATGCCAACTTTATCCCTTTTAATAATAAAGATAGAAAATAGATAAGCTGATAGCTTTATAGCTGAAGCTTTAAAAACACTATAATTTAAGTATCATATTGTTGATTCAACGAAACCATACAATGAACTCCTTTGTATTATAAGTAACTATAATTCTAACTTTTTCATAACATTCTGCTTTGAAAATCAAACTATGGAATGTCAAATAAGGCAATACTCAATGACAGGCACCTAGAACATCCAGAAATGTAACATAGTAAACAATCATTTGAGAACACATCTCTTAAAATAATACTGATTTCTGCAATATACAGTATTTACACAATAGCTGCAAATTTGCCCATACAATATTTCTAATATAGATAAATAGGAATACAAGTCTAAGAATTCTTTGCTCCATTTCCAAAATTTCTGGTTAAAGTGTAAACCATGGCATCTGTTTATTTTCACCGTAACCTTTTTTTCAAACAGAAAATCAGTTGGTATGCACAAATGATTTGGGTCCCTTTTCTGCTCTAGAGAATGACCAACATACTTCACAACTTTCCTTCTGTGGATAATCTTTGGTGCTTTCTTCCAAGGACTCCTGGTAAACAAGGCAGAACATGAGGAGGATGAAAGTGGCTCCAAAGTGAAGCAGCACTTTTGTTCTTCCATTTGGAGATGAACTGAGTTGATGGCTGATGGAGACTTCACACTCGGCAAGCTGTATGCACCATGGGGAGAGGGAGGTGGTCCAACGTTCCCTCTGGCTTCAGGCCTTTCAGCTTTCCTTTCTCATCTTTCTAAGTTGGTAGGCTTTACGGGATGTCTCTTATTCACCATCTTTTCCTCTTTCTTTGAGGTTCTTGACTGAGATGAAGCACCTATTGAATTACTGACTCTGATGAGAGGAGCAGCAGCCAACTGTGAGGCGGAAGTGAGGGGGCCGCTGGGGGTGGGAGAAGAGGATGGCCCTGCACCCAGCCTCAGCACCTCTCTTCCTGCTGCCTGAGCTCTCTTCTGGGGTGAGCGAGCACTGTCAGGTTTCCTGCTTGGCCTGAAAGCAGCATAGATGTTTGGACCACCCACGAAAGAGGAGCTAGTCAAAGACCTCTTCTCGGAATAGTAAGGAACCAAAGATGTGGGCATCACTAGAGATGGAGGGAGGTCACTAGGACTCAAGATAGTATCCTCTCCAGTTTCTGCAGCTTCCACAAGGTACGGTGGGGGCAGGGTGCTGCTACGCTTGCTACACGACTCACAGCATAGCTTGTTGTAACCGGGTATGGAGCAGTACCGAGCCAGAACCTCCATTTGACAGAAGATGGACTTGTCTCCCAAGCATGGCTCATCTGCACAAATTTAAAAAGGCAAGAAATTCACGTGGTTAATGCATAGACAATGAGTTTTGGTGAAGTTGGGCACAAGGAGGTTATCTACATGAATGTTTGTGTTAGCATGGTTATACTGAATGAGATGTAGCTCCTTATTTAAAAAGCACAGCTGGACCTTGCGTTGTCATGGGTTCTGCCCACATGGATGCAACTGTGGACTGAAAATATTTTGAAAAAGTGCAGACTGTGATATACTGCAAAAGGATTATTTGCATAGCATTTAAAAGGCAGGAATCATGAGTTATATGCAAATATGCCATTTTACATAAGGGACTTGATGATCTGAATATTTGTGTTTGTGAGGGGGACTCGGGGTCCAAACCTCTGTGGATATGGGGAACAACTGTTCACTCATTGCCATTTCCATGTTTCCTGAGAAGTCTTCAGGAGTGATTTTCTGTCTGCCCAGCAGGAACCTATCACCTGACTTTAAAATGAGACAACAGCATATAATTGACTACAAAATTGTTTTTTTTTTTACTCTTTTGTGCTTTTTCTGCCTTTTCAATAGAGTACCATCTACATTAAATTTAAAATAAAGGCAGATTACCGAGGATTCATTGGAATATTAACAAAAGGGAAAATGCAATTTTGATTCAGAACTTCTACTGAAACATGAATACAACAGCTTTATATATATCAAGGACTGTTCTCACGTGATCTGAAAACACAAACTTAGGTAAGATATGCCGATTTATATTTCATGGAGATGACCAGAAGATGTTTGAAGGGTACTCACCTAACCTAGCCCCCAGAAAGCACCTGATATTTGAGCATCTAGAGATGGGATTTTAAAACCTTATCAGTTGGAGATTATAGGAATAAGACTTCAGAAAATCCACACACTGAGTACATCGGGCTGTTGAGTCATGCCAGGGCACGCCGGTGGAGTGCAGCCAGGAACTGCTGCTCCCTTGCAGTGCCAGTGTGCAGACTAGCTCCAGGGCTATGCAACAGCACAAGCCAGATCCACAGCCAACTAATAAACACCAAGACCTATAAATTGTGGAATTGTTTTTTAAATACAGTCACTGGAAATTAAGATGTATTATTGGGCAATACCATTATGGAGGTAAGAAAGCTAGTACGAGCTTGCCAAAGACACTGGCGGATACTTTTTCTAAAGTTTGAGAACTGCAAGCAGAGACGGGCCAGGTGATGGTGGTAATGGGCTAAAATAACCAGCTTTGTCAGAGTTCTAAGATTACGTCCGCTTCCCAAATCAGGACTGCCTTGTACGAGCCTGACCTTTGTAGGTCTGTTAAATACTATAATGTGTCTGAATATTTTCTATGAGGTAGGGCCATCATCTAGCTATGCAGTGCATGTGGGGGAGTTACATTAATGCATTTCACCTTAGATGTCAAGTTCATTTCAAGTATCAACTCCCCATTATTTATGAATTACTTTTTCTATGCTTGTTTCTTAAAATAAGGAAATGTCTTTTCCCTCTGTTGGATGAGAGGCTCTGGCTTGATTCTGGATTTAACCCCTGACTCCCCATCCTTTACAGTCCTGTTGCGAGGACTGGCGTGCATGTGAGACCTCCTCTGTGTTAGGAAAGAGTCCAGCCACGAGTCTCCTGTGTGGACACGTGAGCTCTTCGTCACGGCGGAGCCTGCTCTGCAAGGAGAGGCTGGGAGTCTGTGCGGAGGAGTTCAAAAAAAGAGCAGAGGAACATGTTTACTATCTGCCTACAGGTGGGTAACAGGTGTGAACAGTAGAATCAAAATTTGGAGACAGATGACAAAATCAATCATTTGAGAAAAATTTTAGTTGTCTTTCCCCATTCCAACCTCCTTATAAAAGCTCAAGGAAAAGGCCCCCCTCACGGTCTCAGAAAACCATCTGGTGTTGACAGTTTTAGTATCCCCACACTCAACTGTCTGGAAGTGGTGGCGTATTGAATTTGGGATTAATTCATAAACTTTATATTTTAAGATTAAGGAATCTCAACTGGGTAAAGTCCAAAATGCTCTGAAACTCAAAATTCAAAATTTTTTTAACATTTTGGAGCACTTCAGGTTAGTGTATGAGAGCATATGGGAAGTATTACCTATTTAATTGAAACACAGTAAAATATGTGACCTTGCTAAAACTCCTGGGGTTGGCATTCAGAGCAGTGAAGCAGCTGGAAGGAATGTGGCACCACCAGGGCAGCCAGGATGCCTCCGCTGCACCTGGGCTTGCTTCAGCCTCAGAGAAGAAAAGCAGGCCAATTCTTGCTCGTTTTCGCATACATTTGCAGAAACGTAGTGTTCTAGCAGCTACGCAGAATAAAATACCACTGTCACAGTTGGTTTTGCTCTCTGGTATTCTTTTGGCCATAGCTTTGGGTGGTGGACTTTAACTATAGCTTCCCACAGGCAAAAGTCATATGTCTCCCCCTCATGGCCATGCTTGGTTTTGCTACCACACATTTCAAATGAATTTTTATAATGAAATTATTTGCAAGTTTAAAGATGTGCAATCTGGCATTTAAAAAAAAACAAATTTTAAAGAAACTTTTTATAAAACGTTTTCCTGTGGAAAATTGTATCACTTAGCAGGTATTAATATTTAATCAATGCCTTATGTTGATATTTCAGGCCACACGACTGAAACTGCAACTTGTATTTAGTTGTGCGTTTTCCCAGTTTGTCCAAACAATGTTGGTAGCTTGCATTAGGTATAGATTTAAGAGAACTGTAATGAAAAGGAATGTCGCTGGGGAAAGGCATGGACAGGCCAGGAAGAAAGAAGGCGGGAGCTGTGATTTGAATATATGTGCCATTCAAAGTGATTGTAACTAGAAGGTGGAGGCCTTTGGGTAGTGAATTGGGCATGAGTTGTGTCCTTTAGAATTTGTACCCTTGGAAATGGGCAGGCAGTTCTCACATGATGGCAATTCTCCCGGGACTCATTCGCCTGAAGGGGGCAAGGCACCATCTATGAATCCCATCCTCAGGCACCGACTCCGTGGACACCTTCATCTTGGATCTCCTTACCTCCATTCTTAGAGTGCAATGTTTCTGTTACAAATTATGCAGTTGAAGACATAGGCAGAGACCAAGGGAGGGAGAGTCATGTGTTTTGGTCACAGAAAGTGACAAATGATAGTAAAAACAAGTCAAGAGACAATGAGCAGGACATTAGAAATGAGAGGAGCACAATTGGAGACAAGATGAAGAACAGCTGGCAACAGAACAGATGCAAAGGATTTTGTGTTTTAAAACAGCATATCAAAGAGTGACCAGCACCCCCTTATTCATAGCCCAAAGGCCATACGGAATCAACACAGAAGCCATCATCTGATGACTAAAGCAAATGTGACATATGTGTATGAACAATGGCATGCAACTCAGCCACAAAGAACACGGTCTCCTGCAGCAAAATGCATCTACGTGGGTACCATTCGGCTGAGTGAATTAAGCCAGATTCCAAAACACTATTTTTTTCTGATATGTGTTAGCTAATATACAGTATATATACTTATATATAAGCCAATGTGAAGTGGGAACTGCCTATATTCCTATGGAACCGTGATACGTTTTACTTTTTGTTGAACACTGTATTTAGTACAGTATTAGTCTGTGGTTATAAAGGAAATTGAATCTATATTAACACAAGAATTAAGAAAAAAAGGGGAAGTGAAGTTCCTAGAACTCAGTCTTGGAAATACATGAAACCAGTTCTCTTATATGTTAATAAAAATATTTCTAAAATAGCAAACCCATGTGTATTACACTCTGCACTGGCTCTTCCTTCGGCTGACAGCCCAGTGCTAAAGGCCAGCAGCTGTGTGCGTGGCTGTGTAAGTGGGGACAGTTACCAGAAAGAGCTTTGGAACTGAGTGACATCAACTCTGCACATGTCAAAACTGTAAACTCTTGTGATTTTAGTGAAATATTTGAACCCACTCTGTACTGTTTTGCAGTTAAGGAACAGGACACTTATCGAGGCTAATGTGTATCCCATAGGACTCACTCAGCCCTCCACAACCACTGCCGCACAGGAGGGCTGGGCTGACGGCTGAATGCTCGGGGTCTCTGTCCCAGTGTGTTTTGAAAGAACCCGATTAGGGTGGTTCTCAAAGGGCATTTTCCACGGCCAATTTCCTGATAGCGAATATAAATTCCACAGCTACTGCTGCCATTAGATTGTGCTTTTGGAAGTGTAACAACATGGCCAGAGCACTGAAATGCAGGAACAGCACACGTACCGTTACAGGGGGGCAGCTGGCAGGGTCTCACCGACTCGGGCTTGGCACCGTCACAGTGGTCCGCGGCCCTGCAGATGACCTGTCGCACCTCCGTCCCTTCCCCGCAGGTCACTGAGCACTGCAAAGAGAGGCTGTGGTTAGAGGCACACACCTGCTGGCTCTGCAGACAGGGTCCTGGGCTGACTGCTGACTCTACCATTTCCCTGCCCGGGAAGGAGCCCCAGCAGGAAAGCTGCCTCAGCCCAGGGAAACCACTGGCAATGCAGAAGAATGCATGTGCACCTAGCTTGCATGGCACTGCAAGTTCCTAGAAACAGTGAGCTGTGGGGCATCAGGCGCCGGGCAGTGGGGGACAAGGAGAAGGCGCATGCACAGTACTGACTTGCAATCCATCACTGTTTCAGATGGCAGGACTTATGGACCTGCCGTCTCGATTGATCTCTTTGTAAGTCTGTAGAGAAATGAGTATCAGGAAGAGACTTCCTATTCTAAAACCACAGACAGACAGAGAATGGACACTGGTTCTGGGCTTAGAAGAGAAATGGGACAGGACCCACCTGGTAGGTGACCTTCACTTGCCTCCCTCTGATTCTTCCTTCATTCCTTACTTTTTGATGCTTTATTCTCCTATAAACCTGTCACCTATGACTCCATAATCTTTTACTTTTAGTTTTTAGAAATACTAAGAAACACAAGTAACAATGTGCCGAGCTAGCAAGTGACCAAACTAATATCATAACAGCATCCAGGCACATGCTGGGTCTGGGGGAGCAGGGGCAGCGGGTTTTGAGAACTTGGGTACACTTGCTCCAAGCACAGCCTGTAAGGCAGGAGTCAGGGGCCTGTCTCCAGCACCTCACTATAGGCAGCTGTCCTGCCTTTCAGGTGAAGAGGAGGCACGGGCAGGGATGGGCAGGGTTGGGCAGGGTTGGGCAGGGATGGGCAGGCTAGGCAGCACCTGCAAGGGGCTAGGAACCTTGGAGATGAGCAGCAAGGTAGGTAAGATGCTACAGGGAAAGGGGCAAGGACATGCTAGCCTGAAAGTAGGTTGGCAGCTCTGACAGGACTGGGGTGTCTGCAACAGTCAAACTGTTGCAACAAAAAAGGACTAGGGGAGCTAGGGCTGTTCCAGGAGGCGGCATTTGCATTCAGTATTAAGGGGTTAGAATACCTCCCATTGCAACAGTGAAGTTTACCACGCTATCACATACATCAGTCATCTTTCGTACTCCTCTCTATCACAGAACACCCAAGCTTGGCTTGTTCTTACTTCTTATCTTTAAACACAAATACCATTTGCCCTAACTATGGCAGGTGACTACCAAAATGTGACATGGTTTCTGAGTCCACACAAAGTTTACCCAAAAGTCATGCTATATTGAAATAGGCCACACACGCCTTACACACCCACCTCATTCCACGGCCCCGTCTTCCACTGGGCCGGACATGGCACTCTGTTACAGGGCCGGCGGCTCTCGGGACGTTCCCCTACACAGAACTTGCTGTGCACCGAGCGGTTGGTGCCATCCTGGAGTGGCTGCAGGCAGCGCACGGTGCGGAGCTGATAGCCCGAACTCCCGCAGGTTTTGGTGCAGTGTTCCCACGCCTCTGCTACCCAGCTGTCGGGGGTGGAGAGTTGAAAGCCAACATTGTCATTGGGGTGTGCAGCCCGTATGTTCTCTCTGAGGGCTTGGCAGCTGCCCTCTGGAAGCAGGGTCAGAAAGGCGTGTGCCTCTGACACCATCAAGCCCTACACTCGGCTGTCAACACCCTACTACTTCCTGCCTCTCACTGACCCTGTCACCTTCTCCCTACCCTCTCAGAAAGCGATTCACAAAGTCTGAGAATTGCTGAAACATTTAAGATTGCCCTGTTAAGTTCAAGGGTAAAGCTGGTTTTTCAAAAGCAGCATCAGCTGCTAGATATAGTGACGACCGGTGCTAAACATCTGAAAGTAAATTAAAAAGTGATCTGCAGCTTGCCGACACAGGCTGGGTGCTGCTGCTTGATTCTGTGGGGGGGAAACTTGGCTTATGTTTTAAGATTCCAACTGAGAGGACTTATTTCTGCAGCTGTTGTGAGGACTGTCTGACACACTTGCCTTGCTTAGACAACTCGGCTCTTCTCATCGGTCCTCCTGGTCCTGCTGGAGAGGGAAGGTAACATGCATGCGAGAGCAGAAATATCTGCCATGAATGAACTCGGCATCAAGACTGCAGTGTCCACTTCGATGAGATTTTGGCAGCCAGTGGCTGGGAAGGTGAGAATCGGCTTCACCCTGAAGCAGCTGATCCCTTGCCAGGCACCATGGCACAGAGGCCCTACTCTCTCTTGACCAATGACCGGGTCTGCCTGCTGCTGAGTGAGGGGACTCCTGTTACAGATCAAGGAGCACTGCAGAGAGCAAGCACAATTTAGTTCAGGGCTGCACTGCTGATGCCAACCTGAATGTTCTCAACATATTACAAAAAAAGGAGAGAAAGCTATTCCTGGACTGACTGATCCCATGATGCCTCGTCACCGGGGTTCTCAAAGAGCCAGAAGAATCCACAAACATTTCAGTTTCTGTAAAAAAGCTCGTGTATGCCATAAGTTCCAAGAAAGCCCCTAAACCAAGAATCTAAGAAGCCCAGGACCAAGACACCTAAGATTTAGTGTCTTGTTACTCCACAAGTCCTTCAACACAAACGCCAGCACATTGCTCTAAAAAAACAGCAGATTAGGAAGAATAAGGATATTCTTATTCTGCAGAATATGCTAAACTTTTGGCCAAAAGAATGAGTGAGGCCAAAGAAAACAACACCAGGAACAGATTGCCAAGAGTCATAGGTTGTCTTCTCTGAGAGCATCTACTGTTAAATCAGAGTCCAGTCAAAAATAAGGTTTAAGGCTAACAAATAAGATAGGATTAAAAAGAGGCGGGGGAGAGCAAAAACAGCTCATCTAGTAGCACTGAGACTCGGAAGGACAGCATGCTTCGCAACAGCCATGCCACAGCCTGGGGAAGGAGAGAACAACGAGAAACAAACTCCTGGGGAAAGTTTAGTTTAGAATTATCTATGCAAGTGTGTGTGTGTCTTCAAACAACCCAGGCATGAGTAAAGGACATCTTACAACAATCTAAATACTTCATCTTTAACAATTTCTTACCCAAATTTACATTGTATCTTTTCATGAAGTTGTTGGAAGACAGCATCTCCAAGAACAAATCACTAAACCAAGAATTCAGGATACAACCAATGCAGGGCACAGGAGGCAGCCTACAGTAAGAAGCAGGCAGTGGGCATGGCGGAGGACGGGGGAAGACGCCCCAGGAGGAAAGCTCTGCTGAGCTGCAGCCGCAGCAGGACCACGGAGCTGGTTCTCTGAGGACTCTGTCACCACCAAGATGAGCGCTTAGTACTTAGAGGATACTGGCACTCAGGAAGAGGATTTGCGGGGGAAACTGGAGATCTGCAGCTGTGGCTAAAATCAGCAGGACAAACAGAAAATACCGCATGTTCTCACTTGCATGTGGAAGGTAAAATTAAAAAAAAAAAACACCTAAAAACAAATGCCTGTACCAGTTTTGCTGGCAATTCTGTTTTAAATCATTGTCAAATCGCTAATACTAATATATTGCTATTCCTTTTAATGACTGTTTGAATCTTTTAAAACTTAAAGTTGAACATTTCCACCTCATTGTTTATAACCCTTGCCTATTTTTCTGTTCAACTAGAGTGTTTTTACTTTTTTGTGCTGAACACTTTAGTTGAGCATGAAATGTTTGTCTATAGTGTAAATTTTAGAATGTTTTCTCTATTTTGCTTTTAAGCTATATTTTTAAGGTATCAATTTAACTTATGATTTTCAAGAAACTGACAACTATCAAGAGAGATACATGTTAAAATAAAGTACAGGGCCCAGCGCGGTGGCCTAACAGCTAAAGTCCTCGCCTTGAACGCGCGGGGATCCCATATGGGCACTGGTTCTAACCCCGGCAGTTCCACTTTCCATCCAGCTCCCTGCTTGTGGCCTGGGAAAGCAGTCAAGGATGGCCCAAAGCCTTGGGTTCCTACACCCACGTGGGGGACCCGAAGGAAGTTCCTGGCTTCGGATTGGCACAGCACCGGCAGTTGTGCTCACTTGGGGAGTGATCATCGGACGGAAGATCTTCCTCTCTGTCTCTCCTCCTCTCTGTATATCTGACTTTCCAATAAAAATAAAATAAATCTTTAAAAAAAATAAGAAAGCACTTTCAAAAGCTCATGACGTGCACATTCTGAAAAAGGTTTTGCACCAGAATAAACTTAATGTTCTGTTTTTTTCTCTAGATGCCCTGGTACAAATCTTGGATATCAATATCAGTCAAAGCATTTATATCACTTCTGGAAGTTCTGCTCAAAGCAATAAACAGACTGTTTGTCGAGCAAGACTGCAGTGAAAAGCAGGGGGCGACAGCTATGTAATCTCCATGAATTGCATAAGAGGGTTGACTAAAAATAAACTCAAAGTAAAGGGAGCTGAAGACGTGCAAACCCCTTCGCTGACCTCAGAGCATGATAATGCTTACAGTGGATGTGTGCATTCTTGGATGTTGCAGATACGTCTAATAGGTTTCGGTTTCTTGTTGGCTTCACAGAAACTTCGATGAACCATTTTATTATCACTTTTCCTGCGGCATCCGTATTTAGTGTACTGAAAACCTGGAAAATAATTAAAACGTAATCACACATTCATGCCATTATTGTATTTGATCACTCATTCCACAAATATTTTTGTGTGTAGTAAGGTACAGAATGCAATAGATGTTAGTTGTTCTTTATCCCCTATACTTTATAAACATTACAGGTTTCCTCTTAGCCTCAGAAGAGAAAGGACTTGAGAGACAGAGATCTGCCATTCGCAGGTTAATCCCATCAAGGCCCACAGTGGTCAGTCTGGGCTGAAATGAAGCAGGAACCAGGAACTACCCAGTTCTCCACAGGAAGGGCTTGAGGTATCAGCTGCTGCATGGTAGGCTGTGTATTAGCAAGGAGTGAGAGTCAGGCATTGACCCCAAGCATTCCAGTGTGGAATGAGGACATCTTAACCATTAGGACAAACAAAAGAATTGTGTACTTGTTCATGAACTACAGTTGAATAAACATGGCCTACTGTAAAACAGGAAAACCACTGCAATACATAAATGGTCTGATTTTATAGAGCTATATGAATAATTTACTGTAGAGGGCGCCAAAGGAACACAGAGGGAAAAGAACTAACAGCCAGAGGACGAGGAGCAAGAGCATACCATTTTCTTGAATGGATTTTTGAACTTGTAATAGTACTGGGTAAAGGAAACGAACAGGAATGAGAATAATTAAAAAAAAAAACCAGAAATGATCTCAGAAAATGGCAGGTGGCTGCAGGGGTGGATGAGACCAAAGGATCAGAGCTAGAGAGCCTTGACTGTTAGACAAGAGTATAGATTGATCCTGAAGGTCAAAGGGGATTCCTAATGGAGGCTTACACTTTGAATTTCATACCTGTGTACATCTATACCTAAACATACATAGTTTTGAGAAAAACATGTTTCAAAAAACCCTACAAACATTTTGGCAAGGAAAACCCACAGGAACATTTGTAAACCTTGTATCTAGAGTAACCATTTGTTACTCTGCCCCCCACTATGGCTCATATGTAGACATACATAGGGACTTCAGAAAGCTTGTGGAGAAATGGAATTACAAGATATATATTGCTGTGAAAAATTCTGAAATCCATGCCTTGGTTTTCATAATATGCATTTCCCACAAACTTAGTGAAAACCCATCATGCTGCTTGGGGCTTCTTCCAAAAGTTCAGGGAAACTGGACCTGGCTACTTTCCATGGACTTTTGGAAAACTCCCTTTTCATGAGTACATTATGATGCTGAACTATCTGAAAGCTACAGACATCCAGACCCTTTACTCATAAATACTTCAAAACATACACATATTTTTGTAAAGTAGCAAAATATAACTCTCAGAGTCAAGAATTTTCACACATAATACTATTGCCTCATACAGGTAACAGCTGTAATTCATTAGCTATCCCCATAATGGCCTTGATAGTGATTGTTTCAAAGGACACATATTGCATTTGGTTGTCAAGTCTCTTTGACCATCATCAAACAAAATTGATAAGAGATTTTTTTTCTCGGAGGGCAGCTTATATTTTTGAGGTGGAGAGATGGTGGTGCTGTAAAATTTCCAACCACTCAGGTTTAACCATCACTGAGTGGTTCAATTTATTCATTGTTTCGGTGGGTGCAAGAGTACTAACAATGAATGTAACAATTAAAATCCATCAGGAAACAGGTGGATTTTAGCAGTAAATAATATACAACTACTCATTCTGCATTTACTTGAAAGTAATTTCACTGAAATATTCAGAAGAAAAATCCAAATTATCCAACTAGTTAAGAGGAGTTGTGCTCACCATTTTTCCCCTTGCCAGACAGCTAGGAACCCTGATGGGAAAGGAACACGTGTTGCAAACATTAAGAGTATGTGACAAATGTTGTGAGCACGTAGAGTTTAAAGCACAGCAGAAGAGAGGGGATGCGAAGCAAGTGAGCATCCCTTAACAGACACGTGTCATTTTTAACAATTACCCCAAAATTGTTAATGCTCCCTCAAAAAATCACGTAAGAAATATCATCTTGGAGTTTGGATTATAAATGCCGGACCCTGGCATTCCTTCCACTAACAGTGTTTTTGTTCTCAATTATTCAGTGCCATTTCTGTGACAGCCTCTCGCCTTGTCTGACCTGTCTGGAACAGCTTTGTACTAAAGTGCTTATTTTTCAGGATAAATGAATAGAAGATGGGAGACACTGAAAGCCACTTGGACAGCTCCATGGATTTTTGCGGAGACTGTAGACAGGCAGCCTAACTCAGCATGGACTCAGAAGTCAGAAGCCAGGTTCCTGGAGTTTGAATCCTGTGGTCCTGGCCAAATCACTTATCTTCCCCGGGCTTCACTTGTACCGTCACATGATCTACATAATCATGGTATCAGTCCATAGGCCACTGACATATCCATGCACCGATATAGTATTCAGGGCAGCATCTAAGTTCCAGGCACAGAGCAGAGTAAGTTCCACAGTCAGATGCAAATAACAGCTCTTTCATTGTGAACTCAGAAGGAAAGGAAACGTACAGAGAGGGGAAAGGTAAGAGGAGAAGAAGAGGGAGAACCCAAGAACGTTGGGCTTGGCAGAATTTGGGAAGGCACAGTGATGAGTGACGCCACAGGGAAACCAAGACCTGAAGGCACAATGATGAGTGACGCCACAGGGAAACCAAGACCTGAAGGCACAGTGATGAGTGACGCCACAGGGAAACCAAGACCTGGAGCACTCAGGCAGGAGGACACCGTCACAAATGGAATTCCGTCCTTTGCTGAGACTGACATTTCAGTTCAAATATAGTTACCTTATGATGACATTGTGGACTCCTTGATGGACAGTCCTTAAGTAGAAGGGAGATTGGCTTTGCTATGCGTTATGTTTTAATAGAATAAATGTGTTCAACTGTTACCTCCGCCGCAGGGTTTGGAACACTGAGACCAGCTCTTCAAAGCCCACTCGAAAGTGTCTAGTTCTTCCTGGATGACATTGTTGCTGTTGATTGTAGGCACAGAGTCTTCGTGGATGATGTATTTATAGGTGAGGCTTGAGCGAGTATCATTCTCCTGAGGAATAATCTAACACATACATGAACTGATATGTAAATCTTCTGGCTTTTAAACTTTGAATGAAAAACTACAAATACCTTAGATTATTGCTCTTAATGAAACTGCAATTTTTTTCAAGTAGTTCCTAGAACTATCTTATTGATTCAAAAATGCAAACACGTAAAACCTTGGAATATAAAAACCTAGGCAAGTCCACACACTGGTGACTAATAGCTTGTATTATCAAAATAAGTTTATGAGGTTTCTTACAGTTTTCCTTTATCTCTTTAGTACATTCTTTAAAATCAAGTATAACTTTATAATTCAGTTTCCATTAAATCAAGAAAACACACAGTCCAGGAAGAATGCGAAGCCAATAAAGTCATTCATAATTACTCTGAATTGGGGAAAGCCAAAGTCACTTTTATGGATTCAGAATATTCCCTGTGCATCCTTATGAACAGACCCACATTTCTCTGGCCTTGTTTACCCCACTTGGAACACCACGGACATTCCTCAAGATAGTCAACGCTATTTGAAAACATACTTTCGGGCCCGGCGCGGTGGCGCAAGTGGTTAAGTCCTCGCTTTGCACGCCTGGGATCCCATATGGGCGCCGGTTCTATCCCGGCGGCCCCACTTCCCTTCAGGATGGCCCAAAGCTTTGGGACCCTGCACCCGTGGGAGACCCGAAAGAGGCTCCTGGCTTCGGATCGGCATAGCATCGGCCGTTGCGTTCACTTGGGGAGTGAATCATCGGATGGAAGATCTTCCTCTCTGTCTCTCCTCTCTGTATATCCGCCTTTCCAATAAAAACATAATAAAAATAAATCTTTAAAAAAAAGAAAACATACTTTCAATTGGCAGCATAACCTTTAATCCTGGATTTACTAGAGGTTATTTGACCACTTGGTGTTGTGTATTTGTATTGGGTAGAATTTGCCTCCACCCACGTGGCCTATGAGGCAATGTCTGGATGTCCTTGGTAAGCTAAAGTGCACAAACGTTTTGTATGGCTGCTCTAACAGACTGCTGACTGATCCTACGGAAGTCACAGAGCAGCTGTTACTCTGTTATAAGAATACATGCAACAGTCTCCATTCGGCACTAAACAGCAGATCATTTCCTTCTTTGTTAAATGGATGGGCAGAGACCAGAATTTTACCTGTTGCTTATTCTTTAACTAGTAAAGTATAATTTTCCTAGGAGTTACTCACTTGTGCTTTGTTTACTGATGACATGGCTGTCATCGCTTTATTGCTACATATATTTTTCTTTTCTAATCTATGCAGTAAATTTTAATACTCTGTATTATATTAAGCAGTGAAGATATTGTTCAGTTTGTATATGCCTTTTTATGCCTTTTAATTTAGTTTAGGCTTAGGAAATCCTCTTAAAAGAAAGATATTCTGATTATCATCTACCCATAGATGCATATCAATTGTAGGAGGGGGAAATGGCATTTTAAACTTTTGGCTATGGCTTTTGTTTAAGATATCAAGTGATACTAAACCCAATGTGGGCGGGGGTGATCTGATTATTTCTGTTCTTTTGTTTCTCCGCCCCCTTAGTCTCCGTTCTGTCCCATGGGTTGGATAATTTGATAGGAATTCTAACCCCCTACCCCAAGCTCCGGGGCTCCAAACCTGGGGTTTCAATCCTTTGGAGAAGGAAAAGTAAGGTGATGGCAAAACACTGTGTTTGCAGTGCCCCCCTCCTCGCAGCAGGCTTGCTTCTTGCATCCCCAGCCCACACCTGCCCCTGGGCGCCTTCTGGCAGTGTGGCACGGTGGCTAAGGGTCAGGTTTTGAATCCATCACAGGAGTTGCTAGAAAAGAATGTGTTTTGTATTTGAGCATGACAGAGATTGTGGTCTCCAGTTATTCTAACTCAAATAGGATTTCCATCAACAGTGATAACCGCTAAAAAATGATCCAACCCATGGAACAGAGCAAGTGTCCAGAAACAGAACCGCACACATTACGACAATTAATTTCTGACAAAAATAGAAAGGCAATTTAATGGAGATAGAACATTCTTTTTAACAAACAGTGCTGGAACAAACAGACATTACGATGGTTATAAAAATAAGATCTGGTGTTCCACAGCACAGTGACTATAATTTATAACATAATATGCCAATGACTACTGATTAATATACACTGTATACATTTATTACAGGATCACACAAAACTATGAATATGAAAAGCTATTAAATGTTAATCAAAGAAGGTTAAATTTTGAGAAGGAAATGCTAACCTGATTTGATCATTGCACACTGTATCCAGGTTCTGAATGATGACACAATCCTACTCAAGTGTAACATCAAATAATTAATAACTTTTAAATGTCCACAATTAGTTTGAAAAAGATGGTGACCACTGCGTTGGAACACTGTTTCTCTAACACTTGAAACATTTCCTATACTGGAAGTCAGAGGTGTGTCAGAAGGACACTTAGGTGACACGTGGACAAACTCAAGGAAAGAGGAACTGGGTCCTGCTAACTCCCCTGGGGGCGGGGCGGGAAGCCTGGGAAATCTCAGCCGGTTGGTCATCCTTTGGGATTACTGTGGCCCAACTGACAGCAACTGCATGAGACGCCCTTGCCGGAACTAGTCAGGCACGCTGCTTCCAGACACGACATTCCAAGAAGTTGCAAGATCAAGGCTGCGTGTGTGTTTGCTTACTACACGGAATAACACTACACAGGAACATAACTCATATTGCCATCCATATGCAACAATACTACTAATAATTTTGCAATAATACTACTAATAATTTTATATAAATTTAGCTTGAAATAGTTCAAACCCCTTGAAAAATGAGGGTGACACCCATTTTTAGGCAACCCAAAGCTGAGAGAATTCTCACCCACACCACAAGGAATGCCACAGAAAGTTCTCTGTACAGAAGGTATGTGACCCCAGATGGGAAGAACGAAGAACAGCAGAAATGACAAATGCATGTGCAAATATATAACATAGACTGTCATTTCTCAGCTCTACAAGGTAACTGATTGCTGAAGTAAAAATAAAATCATAATAAATACTGTATTATTCCCCTTCATAATATATAAGAGTACAAGAAAAAGCATACTGAAAATTGAATTAAATGATAAATTTAATTTTCCCACAAAAAAAGAAACCCATTTTCAGCATAGTTTTCCCACAAACCTTTTGTGGAAAGGCACCTCATGTGCATGGCTTTCCAAATTTTTTGTACCAAAATACATTTAACCTTTCATTTTGCCACATTTTTAAGCTCTCTCATACACCTAACAAAGTATTCTGACAGCAGTGCAGAGTAGAGGGAAAGAGAGGTGGAATTACGGAAAACAAGCGCCTAAATCTTCAGTGCTCAAGGTAAACGTATTTTCAGATCAATTAATTTCAGAAGTAGAAGCTAACCAACTTCCTAATGAGCCAAGGACTACCACCTACCAGGACGATCACAGGGTCGTGCAAGGGCCCGTCGGTGTGAAGCGTCTCAATGTCGCCCTCAATGTTGTACTCCCACTCCACACCAAGGTCGATGAAGGTCCGGGTCTTGGCCTCCTCCCCTTTGCCATTGAGGATGTAATGGCCGGTAGCCTGGTTCTTAATAGCTAATACGAAGAAAAGATGAGTTACCAGCCTACATTTTACTTATTTTTTAATACAGATGCGTAAGTAGGGCCTTTGCCTATCAGTCCATGACTGAATGTGTTAGTATGAAGCAACTTAAATGAGTGTTAGTTGACTATTAATATTGCCATTTTCTGTGTGAGGCTTGCAGAATGCTCCATCCGCATTCTCAGGCGGATTCTCAAAAAAAAAAAAATGCTTGCAAATAATCCCATTTGAAAACATTGTCAAAGAGGGTAACAGCTGCTAACTCCTTCGCCCTGTATATTTCCTAGGAAAGGTCAGATCATGCTGAAAAGAACTGGTAATCCTCCCCTTATAAACAACCCATGCTCAGATGGCATAAAACGTAATTGATTCCTTGCAGCGTATTCAAATTTAGTCAAAAATGTACACACATCTAATAGAATTAAAATAATATTCAGGCCACCAATTTAATTGAGATGATAGTAAAATTCCAAGGAAATTTCATCCATTATATAATTAGAAAAAGAGCTGCTTACTCCCAAAGAATTCTTACTGTATTATAGATCTAACATCTATTACATACTACTTACATTCGGTAAAATGCATTTTATATTTTGAAGCTGATTAGTAGCACATGATGATTAAGTTTAAAAATTCAAGTTGGCACCATTACTGAAAATGTGCAGCAAACAGGAGAAACGTTAGCTATAAAAACATTTATTCCTTCTGAGCTGTTAAATGATTTTGATTGTTCCAAGCATAAGTATCTGAATTGTAGGATGAAAACTAAAGAAGTTTAAACATGGCTGATTGTTAGACTGAAGACCAGCTAGAATATAATTTAAATCCCACAAACTATAAAGCATGTTTCTACATTTGTACATGAAAATTTTAAAAATCTGCATGGGGCCCGGTGAGATAGCATAGTGGTTAAAGTCCTCGCCTTGAACGTGCCGGGATCCCATATGGGTGCCAATTCTAATCCTGGCAGTTCCACTTCCCATCCAGCTCCCTACTTGTGGCTTGGGAACGCAGTCAAGGATGGCCCAAAGCTTTGGGACCCTGCACCTGCATGGGAGACCCAAAAGAGCTTCTGGCTCCTGGCTTCAGATTGGCTCAGCTCCAACCATTGTGGTCATCTGAGAAGTGACCCATCGGACGGAGGATCTTCCTCTCTGTCTCTCCTCCTCTCTGTATATCTGCCTTTCCAATAAAAATAAATAAATCGTTAAAAAAATCTGCATGAGGTTGGGAGTTGATGTCTTACTTCAGAAATCCTGGTGTTTTTTGACAGGCCACAGGGTATGTGAAAATCATGCTTTTTCTTGCACACATACTTTAAATCCCTTAAAGTGACATTTCTCCAAGATTCTCTCCAAAAGAAGAAACAGATCTCCAGGAAACTACAATCAATGAGTCAAACAGGCTAAAATGTGCCCTTCAAAAACTTGGCACACTACGACAGTTTACCTTTAAATCATAGCATTCATTTGTGGTTGCTATTCCAAGAATTACAATGCAATAACAATAAATGGGAACATATGCTGTGGCGTCAGTCAGAATATCAGGACTTAGCTATCAACATAGCTATGATAAGCTTTTTTTTTTTTTTTTGGTATTTAGTGCATTTTATCAACATGTCTTTTTTTTCAATCCCTTAAATGCAAAACATGAAAATACCAAACAAACTTGTCAAGGAACTTTATCCTTTTGTGATAATGAATCCAACCCCACCTTATCACAAAAACAAATGCTCTATTTTGGAATGGTTATTGTTTCAACGAAACAAGAGAAATAATCAAAACACATTATTTGGTTAAGATATTTATATGTAACTTTCATTCTGCATCTATACATATGCATATACATATGCACAAATGCACACATATAAATACACATACATTCGTACACATATATGTGAATGTCTATATTCATATATAGACGCATATATGACTTCTTTGACATCTCCATGTTCACAAGCATGGTAATCACACACCAACAGGCAGAAACACTTACCAAGAACATGAGGAGAAGCCTCGTCTTCTTGGATTAGCACATGTCTAGCCCCGGGGGGTATATCAAACATCTTAAGGTACCCTTTGCATGTGCAGTAAATATTGGAGGATGCAAAGAAGAAAACAAAAGCAACAACCATGGTTAGTTGAGCACTACGTTCTCACTGCTCCTGCATGCAGAAGAGGGCATCCATGAACGGAAAGAAGCAGTTTTGGAAATGAACTTCAGAGCTGCTATAACACTGACGTAAGGTTAGAGCCAACTTCCTCATTTTATTGAGGAGCAAGAGGAGTTCATCCTATTACCAACTTTTCTTCATTTATCTTCTGTGGACCTAAACGACTCTATGAAATGGAGACACTTTTTAGTGAATGTTTATTTAAGTGATGAACTTGATGTATTTTATCTGTCTATATATTTAAAAACTTTCATGGTAGGCATGGAGAGTTCAACTTGTAATTATTAAATATTTTTTTTATATTTAAAAGCATACCTTGTTCTAAAGAAGTTAGAAAAGTCAGTGCAGAGCTGTCATTTTCTTATGATAAGTATTTCTGGAGTTTTAAACTATGTTGCCAACTGGATTTTTCAAAAAAAACATTGCAGATTTGGCAAAGCAGTTGGAAAAAGCAATGTCCTACAACGTCTCTGTATGTATGGTAACTGTTACTGATAAGTCACACATTTTTTTAAAAAATTCATGATTACTCTGGGTTTTAAAATCATGTACAATTCCTATTCCTACACGTATGATAAGACTTAATATTATCACATGTCCTAAAAGTGACCTTAAAGTCACTTAGAATTAGGATTATGTCTATAAATCGTCAATTGTTAAAACAGAGAAAATAAGATATTTTATTTCCATCACAAATTAATGAAATAGGAAGAATATGCAAACTTCCTCTGCACAACCAGCACATGGCAATATATCCAATTCATCCACTACAGAATGAATATGGACACAAATTCAGTTAGCAATGCACAATTCTTGATGGAAAAAATAAAACGCATGGCTTTTGTCATTTGTATATGTTTATCTCTGTGTTCACAGATTCACCCAACATTTTCACAATAACTACTGATGTCCTAGCTACTAAGATTAGCAATTTTGGGTTCAAAATTGTTAAGTACCTTAGTCAAATTCAGCACATGTAACATGCCATGTTTGCCTGAGTATGGCAAAACAGCTTGATGCCGGTAATGGATGCCCATCTTTCTGCTTTTGCTACAACTTACCCAACGTATTTCTAGCCTCTCTGGTTTCGGCAAGAGAAACGTTACGAGCTCCTTTGGGTAAAGTAAAAGCGCCTCTCGTCTTCCCTTAAATAGAATGTCTTTAATTAGTTGAGGTTTCATGTTTCCCAAAGTCTTCCTGTTTCATTGACTATTCCATAAATCATATGCATTTTATTATGATAAATATGTTCCATAAGTTATATAAACTGTATTTATAATAGAGTTAGCTAATGCCAAGATATGGTTAATAGTCAATGAAAATGAAGACTCAGCATGAATTCAATTCAAAATGATGGAGGTGATTTGAAGTTGAATACTTGCAGATTTCATTTTCCAGCAACGTGAGTTCTTTATGGCACCTCTTGCTTAAATGTTTCCCTGTTGGAAAAGGTTAATTAGACTAATGAATGACTCAGGTGACAACATTAGTGCAAAGAAATGGCTGTTGGCTTATCCCTGAACAGTGTCTATGGCTGACGAATGCTCCTTTGCACTTGCAGATTTAGCATAATGGCTGAGGAAGCTGAAAAAACAGTATCACTACCTTATATTATTCATAATACAGAACAAACGCTTGCAGGAAAAATGTTTTCCTTATATTGATTCATTCTGGAAATAAAACACTGATTATTCTACACTTAAGAAAAACAGCTCTTGTAAATTAAACAAGCACGGTACATCAATTCACAGAATGTGGGAGAAAAATGGCACTGGAAACCACCAAAACTAGAATATGATATATATGTATAATTTTAACACTGTGTGCTTTATTTAAATAATCAGAAATAGCTATACTTTTTAATCAAATTCTATCACACAGGGACAGTACAGATATCAGTCAGAAGCCAGGGTAGGAAATGCGTAAGAGAAACACATTGCAGATGGTCATTTCTCGGGTATAGCTTGGATGAGAACTAAGCCAGCCTTTTCTTTTCCTCCATAAAAGTGAAAGCTGCCACCACGATTGAACTGCATTTCCTTATTTCTCTTCATTTTGTGTCACTCCTAAGATAGCATCCTGGAAGTGCTTTGGAAGCAACAAAGTATTCCCTCAAGATAATACCACCACATAAGTATCTTTAAAATGCTGAATGCCCAGGAACATTGTTGAACGGATCCTTACTGAAACTTTGAATACTATTTGCTACAAATTCAAAATAATCCAACAACAAAGGTATGTGTCCAAATCTGTTATGAATATTGCAATCACAATTATGAAACAATGTTGCAGACTATTTACTACATGAAAATAGTGGTTTTTTCCCCCATTCAATGACTCTGAAAAGCATGTATACATCTAACTTACTGATAGTGTTACAAGCACAACAGTTCACACATATGAACAATTATACCCTAGGGGCTTACTCTGCCTATTTTGTCATATATAAAACTCGTAAAGTGATATGAAATAATTTCTATTCTTATGATTTCATAATTAGGATTTACTTTGATTTGTGGGTTTCTAAACAGGATACAATTCTTTACTTTTAGGACAATAATAAAACTATGTTATATATTCTTACAAATCTATTTAAAATCAATGCAATTTTTGCAATTTATTAAAAATGCAAAATAAAGAATTACATAGATTTTAGTCATTTGCATAATCAACATTGATTTTACATTGTTTCAACCTAAGAGAATTTCTTATCATGGAGTCTATGAATGGATTTCATGAAATTTTGTCTTGCTCTTAAGAATTTCTTAACCGCTAATGTCAAGGAAAATTTACTGGCGGTTACTTTTCAGATCTGTTGCATTAGCACATACTGCAATAAATGAAGTCCCACGGACGGCATGTTCTAGAGAAGGGCCTGGGGTCATAAGAGCAGGGGTCTTACCAAGCTTCCTGGGGGTCCTGGTGAAGGTGCCCTTCACAGTCCGGCAGTGGGAGTTGTCGCCTCCACAGACACCACACTTATCCTCAACCTTGTTGGAGCCGATTTCTTTATCGCAGCCCACTTTCTGGGGAAAGAAGATATTCAACGTGTCTGATACAGGTGTGCTAAATCCAAGTCAGCATTGCAGTCAACCTTTCACAGTGATGGCCGGGATTTTTAATACCTCCGAGTCTTTTCAACAACCAATGTGAAACCCAGTGACTTGTACTATGAGGAGTAAGAGTGAAATCTCTCGTCTAATGATGTATTTGCCTCATAATTAGCTGTCTTCACATCAAGGCCATACTCAACACAGATGTGGAGACATAAAAACCTAGAGGATGTTGTCCCTCCATGTTGCTTCCACATTAAAATGGTGAACAAGAATGAATGAATCCTATACTAGTGGCATCATTCAAAGTTGGTGAAGCAGGGACCCGCCCTGTGGCACTGCAGCTTAAGCCATCTGCCTCAATGTTGGCATCCCATCTGAGCACAAGTTTGAATCCCTGCTGCTCTGCTTCTAATCCAGTACTCTGCTGATGTACCTGGGGAGGCAGCAATGACGGCTCATGTGTTTGGGCCCCTGTCACCAATGTGGGAGACCCGGGTGAAGTTCCAGGCCCCTGGGAGCTCCAGCACTTGAGCACCTTTAGAGAATGAACCTATGGATGGAAGCCTTCTCCCCTCTCTGTAACTATGCCTGTATAATAAATAAATCTTAAGCTATGGCGAGGATGTGTGATGAAATTTGGTAAAAGGATGTTTCTAGAATGCCGAGGGGTTCAAACAGCCAGGAAGTGTGCCGCAGGGGTAAGGAGTTCAGTATTTAAAACCACATTAAAATCCAAGGAGAGCAAGTGTTGCCAAGCCAGGGAAAATTAGTCAAAGGTCTGCATAGAACAGGCTCAGAAACCTACAGTCCCCAAGTGAGTTTACATTTTCACAGTATCGTAATGGGATCTAAATGATTATAAGTGTAGGATAATGACACAGGAAATTGGGCAAGGAAAAATAATGACCACACATATGCACCTGATACTCTGGCAGGTTAAAAAAAAAAAAAAAACAAAAGAAAAAGAGCAAGTTGTATACTCTGCTTCCAGGGAAACTTGAGTGCAAATCTAAGGCAACAATGAGGAAGGAACACAGAGCTTCGCCTTTGCTCGGCTGGAAAGGAAACTGATATTTTTCAGGCAATGACAATTGCAAATCAACCTCACTATTAACATGAACAAGAAAGTAAACCGTAATTAAAAGAGAAGAGAAAGATTAAACATGGCGATGAAAAAAATGGTCTTTTTCTTCCTCTATTACTTCTGCTATGAGCGCTAGTGTTGGGAATTGAGAAAAATCAAAGGAAACCTCTGTTATATTCCCAACAAAAGACAGAATACTCTTAACATTGGATTTTTTAATTAAAAAGCTCTTGCATTTGAATACTACATGGTTGCTGGTAAAATATTCATGGCAAATGCATTGTATTCAGCTTTGGTATTCCAACAAGAGGCAATAGAAAAGGCAGTTGGCTGGAGAGTAAGATAACTGTGTTTACATCTTAATTTTGCCAGTGACCAGAGACTGATTTTGGTAAATACAATTTCTCCTAGATTTATTTTAGCCGGTGAACTCGTTATTTATGATGGTGGAATTTCACAGATAAGAGCAGAAAGTGCAAGACGTGCAGAGGAATGGCAGTGAAAGCACAAGTGCACGCCACTGCAGAAGCCTTGGGAAGCAGAGAACTCACCACGCACTCCCCTCGCACACAGATGCTGTACGGGTCTTTGTAGGAACAGCGTGTCCCATCGTGCACCAGCTGTTTCATATAAGCGACATCGCCAGTCTCTCTGGATTGACAGTAAAGGTGGCATCTTTTCTTGGCTGCATAAGGAAGAGGACAAAATTACATATCCTGGGATCTTTGGCATCATTGCTTAAAATAAAGTTCCAACGTGGGTTCCAGGAAATGAAATACTGCAAAGATTAAAAAAAGAATTATCAATACGCAAAATTTTTCATATTTGTTTTCGCCACAGAGACCATGTGATTTAATATCCAATGTGGAATACTTTAACGAAAGATCTATTCATGTATTTCAACATCAGAGTGACAGAGAGATCTTCCATTTGCTGGTTTACTCCCCAAGTATCCGAAACAGCCAAGGCTGGGCAGGCTGAATCCAGCAATCAGGAACTCCGTCCAGGGCCTCCATGCAATGACCCAAATCCGCAAGAAGTCATTCACTGCTTCCCAGGCACAGCAGCGGCAGGATGGATCAAAAACGAAGCTGCTGGGATGTGAACACTCTAGTATGAGATGCAGGCATTAATACTTTGGCAAGCATGAAGAGGAACTGCCCAGCTGTTTTTTAAAATTATTTTTGGAGACATTTTTTATTGGAAAGGCAGACCAGATTTATGGAGAGATGGAGACATAGAGAGAAAGACCTTCCATCCACTTGTTTACTCCTCTAACAGCCACAAAGGCTGGAGCTGAGCCAATCCAAAGCCAGAGCTAGGAGCCTCTCTGAGTCTCCATGTGGGTGCAGAGTCCCAAGGCTTTGGGCCATCCTCCAATGCTTTCCCAGGCCACAGGCAGGGAGCTGGATGGAAAGTGAAGCAGCTGGGACATGAACTGCCCATAGGGGATTGCAATGCTTGCAAGGGGAGGAGTTAGCCATTTAGCCCTGTGCTGGGCCCTGCCAAACTCTTTAACAAATGAATTCAAAACCTTTTTTGTTTCATTGATGATGAAAGCCATCATCATCAAAGTGTTGACCCAATCACTTACTTAGGTTTTTCTTTTTGTAAGATCTTATGAATCAAACAAATTATGTTGCTTCACCAAAATAAATAAAAACATTTCTTCTCAATGCACTGCAATTTTGAATTCCAACTTTTTTTCTTAAAACACCTTTAAGCTGAACCCTGTAGCACAGCATATGGCATTACATAACTAATTTCTTTCACTAATGTAAATATGAAACATGGCAAGAAATTGCTATCTGAACATATTCAATTGAAAATCAGGGGGTAAGAAAACATTTTTAAAAAGAATTTAAAAGCAAAACATTAAAACAGAAGTAAAGTATTAAAAGAATCTTTGAATAAGTAGCTCACAGTACCAAAGTAAAGTGTTATCAAATGCCTTTCGTAAACAATGGGCTCTTTTTCTTGGTCCTGATTCAGCTGTGAAAGAACTGGGTTTTTCTCCAGTTATTCAGAAAGGCAAGACTGTAACGGTATAGAAGAATGTCCTAGGAGAGGGCTGCAGCCACTCCTCAGGCGGTACCACATCCTAAGAGCAAATGCCGACGGCCAGGAGTACGGCCATACATACTGTCCAATTCTTGCTAGACAATGGAGCACTTGAATCTTATCTGGGCAACCAAAGGGGCTTAGACCTTACATTTAAGTACCACTTCCCCTCAGTAGCAAGTAGGGACCAACAGGTGGTAAAGCATAAACCCTCAAGGCCAGGGCCAGGGCAGGGAGAAGAGGGCCATCCACTCACCATCGGGGTGCTCGTAGGGCAACCAGTGGTGCCTGCTATTCTGGAATTCAAAGTGAGAGTTTCGCTGCTGGCACTGCTGGGCTCTGAAGTCCTCGAAGTGTTTCTGGCATTCTTCTGTGTTACAAAGCTGGTACTCAAAATTAACACCAGGACAATCTTGGCCGCCATTGATGGGCCTAAAGAAAAGACAACATTGAACAAGCCCTTGGGCTGCAGCCAGCAGCTGGAGTCTGCAGACGGCGCTGGAGGGCAGCATGCCAGAACTGCAGAGCTGCCAGCACACTGCGAATCCACTCGGGCTTTCCCGGTTCAGTCTCCTTCACTCTCTTCCTGCTGCAGGAGTGGGCTAGGGCAGACTCAACTCTCAGTGAGTAGGAATGCATAGTAAAGGTACATGAAGAAATAAAAAAACATGCCTGTAGACTCTGGAAAAATTACGTTCTTTCACCCTACCTAAACTCCAAGAAATCTGATCAAAGCTCTATGCCTCCACTTCTTTACCTATAAAGTACAAGTAATACTATTCTCTTTAGAGAACAACAACAAAAACATGTGACAATTAAATGAACTGTCACACTGAAAGCTTTTAGACCCTGACTGGTAGTCAATCTTCATATTTGGGGTTGTTTATGTTACTTCTTGTGATGTGTCCATCATTTCTTCTTGCGAAGACAAATACATGCCTCCCGAAGGTCAAAATGCACGATGGGCAGACTCCCAAATCCCAGACAAGCAAGAAAAACCTAAGTGTATTCAAGTTACTTATTTTTCCTCGGAAAATAAAGTTTGTTGAGCACACAACAGTGGTTCAGTGCATTTAGCCTACATGAATGAAGGAATGGCCAATTTCCCACCATAGTTTCCAACACTTCTGCATAGTCTTTTGGGGTCTCTCCACTGTGGCCATTATATCCTAACCCAGGAGAGACCGAGTCCGAGAGCCATGCCTCGTTGGCCACTCCTTGGCTGCCTGGGGCGAATTTCAAAGCCCACAGCGCACGGGCCTGCTCAGTTCCTTAAAATCAGGGCAATTCACAAGTTGCCTGGGAAGTTCAGATGTTATATTATGGTGCAAATTTTTTTTGAAATAGGCTTTTTCCATCAAAACATTTTCCATGAACTTTTGAAAGACGCTTCATATGCACAGATTTCAAAATCTTTTTAAGAGGAAGATTCATTTCACATACCAAAATAAACTCGAATCAGCCATAATCTTAAACAGCATCTGAAAACAAAATTCTGATTTTCATTAGGATGTCTTCTAGTCCTTGCTGTCTACCGTGAGATGAGCGAGTGGAGACCGATCTCAGAGACTCGGGTTTAGGAAGTGTGAGCAACTCCTGCATTTTACACACACTTCATCAAACAGAATCAGAATACAACACACACGCATCTTCTGGCTTATCCAAAATGACGAGAATTACTGAGATTCTACTCACATGGGATTATTGCACTGGCGTGTTCTAAAACGAGCTCCAGTTCCACACGTGCGGGAGCAGGAGCCAAATTTGGTCCACGAGCCCCAGTTACCGTCTTGTTTTTGTTGATTGGCATTCTTCCACATGCAGTGACCCTTATAGCACCACTTAGGAAAAGAACAAAAGGTAATTAGAAAAATCAGGCACACAGGAAAGCTGAGCTGTTCTTCAAGAAAACTTGTCATGTGGCCCATGTTGTGGTGCCACGCTTAAGCCTCTGCCTGCCACTCTGGAACCCCACGTGGGCACTGGTTCATGTCGTAGTTCTTCTTTGTTGTTGTTGCTAAGATTTATTTGTTTTTATTGGGAAGTCAGATATACAGAGAGAAGGAGAGACAGAAAGATCTTCCTTCTACTTGTTCACTCTCTAAGTGGCCACAACGGCTGGAGCTGAACAGATCCAAGGGCAGGAGCCAGGAGCTTCCCCAGGGTCTCCCACATGGGCGTAGGGTTGCAAGGCTTTGGGCCATCCTCAACTATTTTCCCAGGCCACAGGCAGGGAGCTGGATGGGAACTGGTGCCCACATGGGATCCTGTCATGTCCAAGGTGAGAACTTTAACCACCACGCTATCGCACTGGGCCCATACTTCATATATACAGTTTTAATGACCTAGCAATACTTCTCTTCCCTCACCTTCCTTCTGTTTTGTTTTTAGTTTTATAATGACATATTTTCCATTTACTTTATAATCACAGGCTTAACTCCTCACTAAATATAAAACTCAACAAATATTTCATAAAAAAAAACCACTGTTCCTCAGGAATACAGACAATGGCTACACACCACAAATGGTCACTCAGTTAAGGTTCCAGGCATAGCTTGCTAAAACAGAGCCCTGACCCAAGGCCATGGGGCAGGCAGCTGGCTCCAGGAACCCTGCAGCTCTCTGCATGGACAGGGAGGCTCAGAATCCCTGCTCCCTGCAACTATGGACGCCTCGTGTTCCGTGGCCGTGGGGACCCTGTGACTGTGTCACAGGGCATGAACTACGGCTGTGCAAATCACAGAGCCTGGCTTCAAGAAGTTTATGGAAAATGAAATTTGAAAATTGTCACAGGGCACGGGCTGGCACTGTTGTTTAAATCACAGTCCATGATGCCTCCATCCCAGGCACTGAGTTCCAGCTGCTCCATTTCCAACCTTGTTCCCTGCTAATGTCCTCGGGAAAGCACAAGATGGTCCAAATGCTGGGGCTGCTGCAGCTACATGGGAGACCCAGAGGGAGCTCCTGGCACCTGGCTTCAACCATTCCCAAGTCCTGGCCACTGCCAGGTCAGGGCTGTGCTTTGGCAAACTACATCTGGCACCTTGACTGAGTAAAGAAGAGTGCACCATTGTGGCGTCTAGCCCCCGTCTGTATTCCTGAGGAGTCAACTAGCATATGGGCAATCTCTTTCCTTCTCTGTCTGTAACTGCCTCCTGAATACAGTCCATATTACCAAAAAATATACATGGATTCCAAAACATGCTGTGCCAAAACAAACATATTTAACTACAGTTTCCCACAGACTTTCTGAGGTACCCCTATATTTAGGGGAGTTGGATGCTAATAATTAATTTAGTAGATCTGTCCTGAATAAAGCAAGAATGAATAAACTCATTGTTACTCTTGGTTTTGGTCAGAAGGATTTTCCCACAGCAAGAGACTGTGTAGACTGTATTTAGCAGAGTGCCTAACATGGTGCACACACTGACAGCAGGCTTCAGTGTTATTACAGATCATTCTCACTAAAGGATGGTCAAGGCACATGGGGAACTGAGCCTAACAGGAGCTGAGAGCTACGGCGGTGTTCTCTTCCAGAAGGCATCCCCGTCTACGCTGGTTTCTTACACTGCTACACCTCCAGCTTGAGTTCTCAGTGCACTTTTGTTTGGGGATCTTTGCTCTTATGGGCAGCCTAACTTGGCACTCGGCCACTTTCTGAGCATTCAATTAGAGATTTAAAACCTCTGGGCAGCTTTCCTGATGGAGCATGGCCAAATCTTCCAAGTTCACATGGCTTTATTTCTGGGCAACTTCCACAAGGAACAGGATGCCAGCAAGTAAATCAAACCTCATTGGTACGAAACTAGAATATTGGGGGAGATGCTTCTTCCAATTTTCTGGAGGATTCCAATGTGTGGGGTTCTAGCCTCAAGGACCCAGAAACAGTACCTTCTTTAGAAAATGGGTCCAAGGAAATGTGACAAGAGATTTGAAGATGAGAGGGCTATGCAGCATCTCTATGAGAAGGATTCCACATGCTCAGGAGAGCAGGCAGTAACGAGACCACGACGGAGTGCACACAAGAGATGAGCACAGCCACCTCAAGCTGGAAAGGGCAATTAACACCGTCTCTGTGAGGGCTTCTGAGAGCATGTGTCACAACACACACTGCTCCTGTGCACACACTGCTCCTGTGCACACACTGTTCCCTGTGCACACCTTGCTCCCTGTGTACACCTTGCTCCCTGTGCACACACAGCTCCCTGTGCACACACTGCTCCCTGTGCACACCTTGCTCCCTGTGCACACCTTGCTCCCTGTGCACACCTTGCTCCCTGTGTACACACTGCTCCTGTGCACACACTGCTCCTGTGCACACCTTGCTCCATGTGCACACACTGCTCCCTGTGCACACACTGCTCCCTGTGCACACACTGCTCCCTGTGTACACACTGCTCTTGTGCACACCTTGCTCCCTGTGCACACACTGCTCCCTGTGCACACCTTGCTCCCTGTGCACACCTTGCTCCCTGTGCACACATTGCTCCCTGTGCACACCTTGCTCCCTATTCATTTTCCTTTCTCTTCACACCTCTCACTGTCCACAGCTTGCTCCCTGATCACACTTCGCTTTCTTTTCACATCTTGCTCCCTCTTCACACCTTATTCCCTGTTTACACCTTGCTCTGTTGATACCTTACTTTCAGTTCTGTGACACTGCTGTTTTAATCTGTGGCCATCTGGCAGAGCAAGCCACAAAACATCTGCATGGTGTTCTAGTGCATGACTATAATGAAGCCTCAATATAGTTCTCTGGTTTTCATGAAAATGATAGTCCAGTTGTGTGCATCATTTTCCAGATTTCTGAATATTATGATTTAATACATCTTAAACATTCTGTGTATGTATACTCACTTTTCCAGCAGAACATTCTGTTCCATCAAGCGGGGGTCCCTTTTTAGTCTTACAGAAATAAGGGTTATCCGGATGGCTACACCACAGCTGTTTACATGGGTCAAATGTTCGGAACTGGAAGAAACAGCATCAAATTCTCAATGAACTCTGACTCAGCACAACATGCACCAGTCAGATGTACTAGATGGATGCTTCATGTCACATTTCTTGCATACTATCAAGTTAGTAACCATAACTGAGAATCTCAAGTAAAAAATAAAATCACAAAAGCTGCAGGTGTTTGCAGGACAGTTAGGACTCTATTTTGGAATGTCTGCATCCCGCATTACAACACCAGGCTTTGACTCTGGCTTTGCTCCTGACTCCAGCTTCTGGCTAATGCTGAGCCTTGGAAGTAGCAGTGGTGACTCAGGTAACTGAATTCCTGCCACCCACACAGGAGATCAGTCTCCATATACTGGCTTTCATTACCACCAGGCAGTACATCTCTGATATCTTGCTCTTCCTTGACTTGATGAACAGTATTCTAGATATCTGATATTTGATTGTAGTGGTGATTGAGCTGGTATAGCGTCACCAGAGCCTCACATGTTCTACATGGGTGGGAATCAACAGTGTGGCTGCTGAAGTCAGACCAGATGGGTGAGTCATGGCTCTGACACTTGTGTGTCTGTGACTTGGATGCTTTATTCTCCGTCTTAGTGACTTCACAGGCAATAAATGGATAATGAGAGTCTCACAAAATTGTTGTAAGTATTAGGTCTGATAATACAGTTAAAGCACTTAGCACCATATCGAAGGTGTAAGAATAACCTCTGAAGGTCAGAAAAGCCAGGAGAAGAACTAGAGTATAAAAAATAGATAGCTTGTGAAAGTTCAGCTCCCCCATTTATGACATGTGTGACTTAAGGAAGATTCTTCACCTCTGTGAAAGTACAGCAATAACCTTCTATTCTGCCATGAAGTTTAAATAACATGATCTATTTAAAGCTCCTAGCCTTAGCATGTAGCAATACAGCAAACATAAAATAAGTGGTTGATGTTATAGCAGTTGACGTTCTTGGATCAACTGGTCTACAAAGTTTTCTGAAGGGGAGTCACACAAATAAATTCCAAGTTACAAAATCTAAGCTGGCTGTATAGTAACATACCGCTGTGCACATTTTATAACCGACACCAAAATCAAAACGGCATTGCTCATCCATAGAATAATTGATTCCGGGAAGTTCTGGAAGCTTGGGCCAATCATGCTCAAAAGGGTCATCAAGGAGACAGTCATAGGAACTGTAGGAAGGAAAACACAGCATGTAGTTCAATGCTCATCTTCTAAAATCACGTCCTCATGGGGAAGTACTCAACGTATGGCTTCAGATCACAAAGCAAGCTCAGAAACATGCATTTTGAGGTTTCTGGTTACAGTTTCACTTAGAGAAAGTTATACTGTCCTCCTGGAACTCAGCAATGTGAGCCAAGCATGATTTAGAAAGGCCACAGTGCTAGGAAGGTCTTATGGTATTATTACCTAGACCCATATGGTATGGCAGGGCAGAGCCTAATGCCCATACTATAGGGGAGGGTGAATAATTTGATGGAATCCATGGCCATCTTCTGGCAACCTTAGCATAAGTTTGACCACTAAAAAAGATTCCGTATAGAATTTACTAAAGGGAAATCAAAGTTGGACATTCACTTTAACTCTAGACTTAAGGCTTGAAATATCCTTACTGCATTATGGATTTGTGCCCAATGCTCTGAATTATAAGTAGTTTTCATTTGCTAGAGATTTTGTCAGGGTCAAGATCTCGAGTCAGTGTCACACCTGCAGGCTACAAGATCAAGGCACTTAGGTCACACAGCAGGACACCTACTGGATGTATCTTTTCAGTTCTTGACCACTGCATCGGGACCAGTGGTAACGATGAAAGGCCGCTTGCACCAATGGAGCCATGACACTGCCCATCGCGGTCTCATCCCCACACCTGTTGCCTTGGCCGTCGTGCTCCATGCCCAACCTAGAACACAAAGGAGGCGTCACTGGCGAGAATCAGAGGGGCTGCAGATTTTCTGACTTTCTGATTTGAAAATTATAACTAAGACAGACATAGTCCTTTAATGCCAACATGGCTTCCATGGAGAGGCCAGATTCTGAAATTGGGAGCAATGTGACAAAGATGCCCCTCTGATTCTATAGAGCTGCACAACACACAGCAGTTCTTCTGTAAGTCCGAGTCATTCCTTGTGTTTCAGTGCATGACTCTGTTGCTGATTTCAATTCTCCACACTTGGCAAGGAACAGAAATCAAACGCTGGCATGTGTTCCATCCTAAGTGCAAACAATGCGGGGAGAAATAGGAAAGAAAACAAACTTTCTGGGGGGCTTCCCAGCTGTCAGCAGTGACTTACACATGGCCAGTTTCATGGGCAACGACAAAGGCAGATGAAAAGCCATCCTCATGATTTAGAGTACAGCTTCTCACTGGATGACACATGCCTGTGACCGGAGCATAGCCTGCAGAGAAGAACAATTGCTTTTATTTTCATTTTTATGAGAAAACTCATTAAGATTTTCTACTGGAACTTTTGCCTGCTGAGGCAAAAAAAAAAAAAAGGAAAGTTAAAAAAAAAACACTGTTTCAGGAAACAGGCAGTATTTTGTGCCTGCTCACATGCTCACATGATGCCACATTCTCTTGGGAAAGTCACAGGTAATTGTCTCTAAGATTCGTTGGGGGTGCACTTGGTCCTTTCCTATGGAATGAACCTCTGGTGTTTCTGCTATGTTTTGTCTCCTGACCCCTCAGGAAAAGCCCCATCCTGTTGCAGCAAACAGTGCTTCACGTCATGGTATTGATGAAGGGTGCCAAGAATCCCATCAACAGTGAGACAAAACTCACGCTTCTCCTTTTCCCGAAGTCTGCCATCAGAATGAATTAGGCAGATCTAAGCTGACTTCAGAGGAAAGTTCTTTGGCTGCAGTCACTGATCCGGCAACTCTGCTCATCCCAAACATTTGGGGGGAAATGACACTGTATTGTCCATACCCTTTCTGTACCCCAAGTGCACCACATTTGTTTTATAGGCAAATATAATCGATTATGCTATTAAGTGGTCTTTAACATTATGGGTTCCACAGAAATCACTGGAAGGAATTGAAAGAAAATGCATGCCTGGCTGGGGCACTGGTAGATATCAGAACATTTGAACAGACAGCCTGGTTTAGTATAAGTTTTGAAAAGTCTTGCCCTTAAGTGTGTCTTTTACAAATTAATGCCAATACCTTGCATTCCGGCTGGCCCAAAATCCTGTCTAGTTAAGAAAATTGCATGATCGTGGTGTTCAGAGTGGCTGGGATCAGATTTTTGCTGTTGGCAGGCCCAGCGACACACGTTCTCCAAGCTCCTGGATGGGTTTCCCCTTTCAATAAGGCTGATGGACTAGGAGGAAATAATACGTTAAAGATACATTTCACACTTCCCCCAAAATTTCTCTTAGTGAGTTTCTGTGAGGTTGAAAGTTGCAATTACTAAAACAATTGTTCTGTAATGTTAGATGTATACCACAGTTTGGGAAATCATGTGTGTTGTTTGAGGTAATTTTTAGGATGTTTAGTAGTACCTGTTCAAAATTAACTGACACAATTAATGGGAATGTCTGATACTGGGAACTGCTGGTGTGAGCAACTCAATATTAAATATCTAATAGCCTAAATATTTTGCCTAGAATTTTTAGTTTCATTGATACTCTGAACAAAAACATTCAGAAAGATTCTGGCATAAGATTCTTTCCAGAGATTGACAGTGAAAGTGCCTAGTTAAAATTTTTGTGTGTTTTGAGCTCCAGAATTAATCAACATGTGGGAAAAATATTAATACTTCCATGAGAGGGCAAAGCTGCTTGACTTTGCATGGAGCAGTCTAATTATATTACCCTAACACTGCAAACTTAAAAAATATTTTTTTAACCTCATGATAATATAATAAGATAGACTCTAACCTTGTAGTTCTACAAGACAGTATCAGTTTCCGTAGGTTAATGCGTCTACTCATCATGACCAGGAATTAAAAGTTCAAAGAGAACTGGGGGCAGGTGGGGTTGGGGGAGCCACTCTTCAAGAACCTGGCAGCCATCCTTTGAAGAGTTTGGATGGGATGGGAAATTGAGCAGAACCCATCGTTAGTCCCTACTTGGCTGGCAGGCTGAAAGTTTGGTTATAATCCAGCAAATGCTATTATCAGTGTTTACATTCTTAACAAAAAATAGCTTGGTCTATTATGGGCTAATCACATTCTTTTCCAAACAAGTAATTTAAAAACTTAACTGAAACTTATTAACATGTACAGCTGGAGTTAACTTGTGCTCGTCTTTAGCAACACAAAATAGGTCAGGTTTACAGAATAAAATAAAGGTCAATGGCACAGTGTCATTAGAAAATGGTAAGTGGGTACTTAATATATACTCCTATAATGAAATTAAAACACATAGGTTTTTCCTATTTTTTGACTGCTGAAATTCATTAAAATTTCATAATCAGGAGGATTAATTATGAGACAGGGCAGGTTATTTTAAACACAAAGAAAATTCTCAAGTTAGTCATTCTCCCTGTATTTCTTCCCAAGGGGGGGAGGGGAACTTGCTTCAACCATTCCATTATTTCCAAGAACAGAGAGACATCCTAGCAACATTTTAAAGCCAAGTAATTTGAAATTCCTGCAATGTGCATATTGTTGCACTTTTTTGTTTTGAAACAAAAGTTTAAGTAGAAATGATTACATATAAAGTACCTTTAACGAATCAAGAGAAAATAAGGGTTCCTCACTTTTTCCAAGTAACCACAGGGTATGTGCCACATAGTAGGTCATCAGTACAGACATTTAAAAGCAATAAATGAATCACATAGTTGATACTCATGATAAGCAAAGGCCATTCTCTGACCTCATATTGATATTCACATGTTTTCCTCTGTGTGGGCTTGAAGCCAAGATGGCTGCCTGACCTGGGAGAGCTCCACTGACAGCGGCAGATTTCCCTTCTCAGTTCACAGCTACCTAGGCCTTATCTCCAGCTTCAGCGGTTCAGCCTTCCCATCTACCCGCCAGGCCCCAGAGTTCATATTTCAAGACGCTTTACCTTTGCATAGCCCAGCATTATCATGCGTACCAGGACCACATTTATATGCACTCCGAGAGATTCATCATGGTAAATTTCATTTACCTAGAAATAAAGCAGATATTTGCTGGAATGAAGACAATGCAAAGGCTTTTATGAGACATGCAGCATTCTGGGGGATCAGACATACAATTAGCAGTACCAAAGCCAAATGCTTGTTTCTAATTTGATCAATTCAGCTGAACCTTGAAAAGAAGTCGTTTAGCTCTAGCTCTGGAACGATCTCTGGACAGGTGCATGACTGGTTTCAAAAGGGACACAGTCAGAACGTATTCAGCGAGGACTTCATTCAACTACTGTAGAGCTCAAGTCTACAACACTCATCTACAACTGATGAACCCTTTGTTAGCACATGAGTCATGGCAGCCATGATGGGAAAACGCAGAGGCAGTCACTCCCCACTTAGTGCTCCTGTGGGGTTCAATGTCTGCTGGAGGGAGTCCATGCCTGTAAGGGTCTGTGTGCAGGAACTATAATGGCCACGCCGCATGGCAATCACAACAAGGCTTTCCAGGATGCATTCAGGAGCAGAGAAGTTAGTGGAGCAATGATTGTATGGAATGCCTGTGAGATAGAAGTGCTTTGATATTTAAATCACTACGGTAAAGACGGATGTTTGGTACAACATTTGGATCATAGCCTCGGATGCCTGCACCTCATGCCCAAGCTCATGGGCTTCCAATCCATCTCGCCACAACTGCACACCCTAGGAAGCAGCAAGCCATGGCTCAAGAACCAGTGTCCCTGTCACCTTTATGGGAACCTGGACTGAATTCCAGGTTCCTGACTTCTGCCTGGCCCAACTCAGCCTGCTGTAAAAACTTGGGGAATAAACCAGATTCCTGTTTTTCTCTGTCAGCCTTTGAAATAGAATAAGACTTTCTCCTCCCCCCTTCTTTTTTTTTTTAAGATTGATTTGTTTAACCTAGAAGTCAGTTATAGAGAGAGGCAGAGGCAGACTCACACAGAGAGCTTCCATTTGCTGTTACTCTCTCCAAATGGCTGCTACTTCCAGAGCTGGGACAGTCCAAAGCTTGGAGCCAGGAGCTTCTTCTATGTCTCTATGTGAGTGTAAAAGGCCCAACGATGAGCCATTCTCCACTGCTTTCCCAGGCCATTAGCACAGAGCTAGGACTAGATCCTGTGCCCACATGGATTGCAAATGCCATAGGTGGATGACCACTCTGCTATATCCCCAAGGGGGCCCCTCAAATAAAAGCTAAAAAAGAGCATTAAACTTCCTTTAAAAACTAGGGGGATTGTATAAGTACACAGAAAATGAATGTTGACACTGGATCCAACTCAAAAAAAGCAAAGGATCAGAGTTTGGACACTGTATCCCATATAGAGTGCTTGAATTTGAGTCCTGGCTTAGTTTGCATTTGAACCTTGGGAAGCACAGCGATGCCTCCCATGCTTGGCTTTCTGTCACCCAAGTAGGGACCCAGACAGAGTACCCAGAGCCCAGCTTCAGTGTGATTCAGCACTAGACTTTGCACAGATTCGAGGAGTGAGCTGGTAGATGGAAGCTCTGTCCCTCTAATAAAACAGAAGTAATAGTTTAAAGAAAGAGCAGCAATGCTAAGTGTCATTGTTTTTTACTTACTTTTCAAAGTTAGGCTTAAATTTCTAAAAGTGATTTTATGCTTCAACATACATTGGGACAAAGCAATCCAAGGGATCATAGTCTCAACCCTATTTTACAGACTACACATGTGAAGACTGTAGAGATGAACCGGTATGCAAGAAAAAGCAGCCGTGATCGGAAGATGTGGATCTAAAGTAGCTGTGATTGTATCTTCTGATTAACACTACAAAATGAATGCAAATAAATAATGCTTACCAAGTAGGCATACACTAACAGGAATGAGAAACGTGTTGCTTGGCCACATTACAAAGTTCTTAGCTGTTCCCAAGAGCAAGAACTCAATAATTGTCACAATAACGAAAGAAAGATAGAAATCCAATTGAAATTTAGCTTCAAATTCAGCTTTTCAGAGCAGGTACAGTAAACCTAAGATCTACAAAGGAAAGATTTGCAAAATTCCATAGAGAAGACTTAAAAGAAATATAACTCAGCAATGTTAGAATGCACCACAAAAGGAAACTCAGTAGTAAAAAAAAAAATTTGCCCCATTGGCAGCAAAAAAGACTGAGATGTTTCAAGAGTTCAACGTAAGGAAACAAAATGCCTTAACCAATCAAGGCCACAGATGTTAAATGAAAGCATGCTTGTAGATGACATTAACCAACACTCAAGGAAACAAACAAAAACAATCCTGAGACTATCTTAAAAATCACAAAGTAGGCAACAGGTGTTTAGTTATTAAGATGCCATGCTTCTGACTTGCTGACAATGCACACATTGTGATTCAGTACTTATCACAGCTCAAAGAATGGGACTCCCACCACTGACGTGGGAGACTTGGATTCTGTCCCCGACTTTGCTTTGACCGCAGCTTAGCCACAGCCATTGTATTCATATGGAGAATGAAGCAGCACATGGAAGTTCTCTGTCTCTTTTACTTTACCTCTCAATTAAAAAAAACTGTTCAAATAAGTAAAACATGAATTCAAATGTTTTCAAATGACAAAATGTAGTTCCTAAAGACAAAAATGTTCTGCCCTTTTAAACAGACAACCACATGTTTATATCCATTCACACGCTTAGAAGTAACTCAGATAAGCACAGAAAGGCACACACATGCATACACACACATGCACTGACACAGAGAACGGTAAGACTCAGTATCTGTCAAAATATGCCAAGTAGATATAATGAACACCTACAGGGATTTCTTGTATTGCATAGGTATGCAGAGAAAATATCTTACACCAACTCCTCCCTTTCTACATTAGAGTACAACTGAAGGAGTGGACTGAGTTCATGTTTCTGTTAGATCGTAAGAGGGTTGGTAGAAAATTATACACAGATCCAAAGAAGAGAGATAAAAAGAAGAGGAAGAAGCCCAGAAAATATATCAGGAGCACAATGAATGGGGACCTGTTAGTTACCAAGCAGCACATCAGACATGGTCTTCCCTAAATTCTCCTCTTTACGTATGAGATTCCACTAACACAGTTACGGCATGTTCTCAGGATACAGCGCAAGAGGAAAAGCACTCGTTGCAGTTTAAAAGTGTGATATTGAAAGCTATTTTAGCAAACAAAAGTAATGGACATTAAAAGTAAAAACCAACTGATATTTTAACTGAAAAAGGAAATTTTTGAAGAAGAGTGACAGGGGATAGAAGACACATCCTTTATTTATGGCCAGCAGGGAGGACATGTGGACTAACCTATACATTTATAATGCAATTAGAAATGTTACAAAAGCACCTGCATGAGAAAACCTTTGCGTAGAAGATGAAGGGAAAGTGGGAATCAGGATCAATAGTTCATGATGTGAGTTAGTAGGAAATATTTAGGAATCAATAAAAATTAGTGAGTTTATCTGCACATGGCAAATTCTAAAGCTCAACAGCCGAGAAATTTTGATGGACAAAATTCTTGTTGCCAATGGCAACATTAAAATTGAAAAAATTAATGAAGACACTTTAAAATCAAATTTATAATTTTCTAAAATAAAAGCATTTGACAAAAATTACCTTAATGCTAGTGTAATTAGAAAACAGTTTGAGTAGAAACTAAAATTATTTGTGAAATATTGTCAAACACAGCACAGAGTTTTGAAGCACAGTTCTTGTAAATTACCCTGATGGGAATGATCAAATAGAAAACCACTTTTATAAATCAGAGCGTACTCATTCCTTGTGGCAGATTATGACTTTACGAAGAACTAGATCTGACTTATTACCTGGTATTCCAAAGCTTTCAAGGGCTGATCCCTAAACAGTATTGACTTTTTAAATGTGATTTGGAGAAAGTTCATCTTTTCAGGAAATGATGAGACAGCTGGCATTTGACAAGCTTTGGGGGATAGTACAGAACCACTGGGACTCAAGATATCAAGTCCTGGCTCCAGCTCTGCTGCTGAAACACCACAGGGCCACAGGCTGCTCATTTAGCCTCTCTCATCCAAGAAATTACAGCACATATTGCTATTCACAAATAAAAACAGTACTCCCAATGAAAATGTTAAATATACCTTGACAATATGATACTAGATTTTCAATTCGAAATTTGCTCAACCTCAATTAATGATATTATCAGAACGACAGGGATGCAGCCTTGGCATTAATATGTTTACTTCCCCCTGGCTCCTGGCTTGAACCCCCGCCCCAGTAATCAGGGCTATCTTATGCTAATATACATTCTGGAAGACAGAAGGAAACCGCTCAAGTGGCGGGACCCTGCTGGACCCTGCTCCCCTGGCTGCTGACCTTGGCCCTGGCTTGCCACAGTGCCAGCTCTGGGGGACACTTGGGGAATGAACTCTCAGCTGTTCTCTTTCTCTCATTCCAGTAATGCTTGATTATAGAAAATAACTTGACACTTTTCCCCCCAGTTTGGATGGTGTAGCAATCTCATTCCAGATGTCAGTAGGCACACTCCACAGGGGCGGGGCAGAGGGTGAAGGGGCAGAGGGCAAGGACAGCAGCTGGGGGCGGGGCAGAGGGTGAAGGGGCAGAGGGCAAGGACAGCGGCCGGGGGCGGGGCAGAGGGTGAAGGGGCGGAGGGCAAGGACAGCTGCTTGAAACACCTGCACAGCATTTACACCCTGGCTGGGATGTCTGACTCTTCCTTTATTTACATATGCAAAAAAGCCTTCATTAAATACAAGCTTTATGATGACCCAAGCCAAATGTTAAATCTTCAGTGCTTAATAATTTTACTCCTAAAAGCAAATGAAAATATTGGAAAGGAATCCAATGATCCAATTTAGATCATTTAAGTCATCCAGTGACAACTACTATGTCACAGTCCTGCAGAAACCCACAGGATCTCGCTGTTTTTAGGACTCAATCATGCATATGTTGTTGTATTATAGAAAACGAAAAGCTTGAATTACAATGGCATAAGATATTTACTGAAGTGTTGCTACAACTTCTAACAAGTAATTTTATCTGAAGTAAAAGCGAAAA